TAGCTCGTTAAACCTTTAAGGACAAGCCAAAAGTAGCTGATACAATGGCATGTGTCTCACAGAGAGTCTGATCCCAGAAGCGGCCACCGAGACCCTGGGCTGCCTGCACCCCTCTGTTCTGGGTATGAAGAAGAACCCTGAAGGAAAGGCTTGAGCCAGCACTTGGGTGTGTTGCCAGCCTTGTGGGGTGATGGAGGCAGCTGCTTTGGCACCAGAATGGAGATGCCAATGGGTTTTTTTGTTGCTGTCCCACGGGCTTGGAGTGGCCTTGGCCCTGGTCCGTGCTGTGACCTCAGGGTCGTGAGATGACTGGTATTGCAGCCTTGCGTTGCAGCAGCACCTCTGAGCCCCTGCTCGGGGCCAAGCTCCTCGTCTGTGCAACCATGTGCAGAGGCAGATCCCCAAAGAGCTGAGGACAGGGTCTGGTGACTGCGAAGATGGAGCTGCCCCACTGGGGCACACGTGGCAGATCCGATGACCTACCTGTGTGGATCACGGAACATCTAAGGTTGCAGCACAAAGCAGGACAGGCTTTGTGGAGACTCCCAACAAGCAGAAGTCAGCGTTAGCAAAGACCTTGCTCTTCCAGCTTCACAGAACACGGCTTTTTCCTCTCCCCTAGAGGCACCACACCAGCTGGATGGGATGCTCAGGAGTTATTAGCTTCCCCCACAGCCCTCCCTCACAGCCTGTGGTCCCAACTGCTCTAATACCATTAAGAGTCCTAATGTCCTGGACATCCAAGCCCCCCTTTTTAAGATTAGCATAGACCTGTGCATCAGGAGGAGGTTAAAAATCTAGGGAAAACCGCTAACTTTCTGGCTGTAAGTGACATCTAGTGGAAATGGCAGGAAAAATGAGTTCCACAGGTGAAACATTGATCCTCTTGGATACAGTGGTGAAACTCTGATTCCTGTGAGCTGGAAGTTCAGCCCAGCAGCCTCTTTTCAACACTTGTTAAAAAAAAAAAACCAGAATAGCTCTATCTGTCTGGGTATGACGTGCAGAGAGCTTGGCGTGTGTGGTTTGTCTCACATCAGTGAGCGAGGCGAAAGGCGAGATGGCTGCGACATGACAGCGGTCACCTGGCCTTACGGCTGCTGGTCCTGAGCCAGAAAAACCTACGGCCACAACAGACCATGCACTGCTCTGGTATTTCTGTGCTAAATTCAGATTAAAACAATGCAGTGGGCTAACTTTGCACTGCTAAACTTCATGGCAGTTTAAGTCTTGCCTGTCCTACAGCTCACTGCTCCTGTGGATGATACGGCTGTAGCTCATCCTGCTGGGTTCTCCGGCCATGGACCACGCTGGGGACAGGGATGGTGGCCCCACAGCCCCTCGGCTGGTCTGCCCGGAGAGAGGCAAAGCTGAGGAGTTGCAGAACCTGTCCCTTAGGGATGGTGAGTCCAGGGTCATGGATATTGGGCCCGTCTGTGCCCTGTGCCTCCGAGGCAGCTGCGTGCCCTCTCTGCCCTGCCTCTTCTTTCTTGGCATGGGAGGTGGCTGCGTTCTGCCACCCCTGCCCCGGCAGGAAGGGTCCCAGCCAGCTGAGTAGAGGCTATTCTTGTGTCGAGCAAAGCCAAAGCTTGCAGGGGAAACCTGAAACTCAGCGAGACTTGGATTAGCAACCCGAAACTCAGGCCAGGATACAAGCCTTTTGGAAGAGCTTGGCAGAGTTTCAGGCAAGTGCGGGCTGAGTTTCAAGTCAGCTAAGGCTGACCTTTGAGTGAGCCCGCTGCTGGCTGCTTGGGAAGCATGGGCTTGAATTTTAAGAGACCCTGGGGAGTGAGTTTCAGGCAAAAAAACCCAACCCCAAACCCACCCCAAACAGTTAAAGGGTTTAGGCAAAAACAATGCAGACCTCTTATGGTTTGGGGGGTGATAATTCCTAGCCACTCACCTGCCCCCAAACCAGCAAAACCAGACCGGTGGTTACAGCTTCATTGCACTCAGAGTTTCAATGCAGACTTAACCCCTTCCTCAGCGTGGATTAACTGTTACTTCCAGGCATTCTCTGGGATGGATCTAAATTCTTTGTTAGCTCTCTCCCTGTCACCAGGGAGGTCTCCTGGCTGTTAGCAGTGCAAGGTCGAAGCCATAGCCGAGCAGCTCAGCATTCCCTGCTCCTGGACACGAAGGACGGAGCTATCTGTGTGACAGTTTGTACCTCGCAGGAATTTATGGAAGGGGAGAAATTAATCAGATCCCGGGGGGAGAGATCACAAGATGGAAAAGCTGGTACCGTGAGAGCAGGCGACGAGAGCAGAGCCAGAGATGGGCAGACAAGGCCACGCTGTATCAGTGACCAAGGCTGAAGGATGATGACCAAGCCAAAGTGGAAAAAGACATGAGGAAATGGGCACAAATAGAGCTGTCTGTCCCAGGCAGTGGGAAGCAGCAAAAGCCAATGTAGTCTTGCTCCCGAAGCTGTGGACATATTTCTCTTTCCGTTATGTTGGTTGTTTTTTTTTTCCTATTGCTTTCCCTGCAAACTCATCACTCTCTTCCTCCCCTAACACACAGCATGTGACGGGTCTAGAGCAGGGCCCGTTATGTTGTTTTGTTTTTTTCCCATTGCTTTCCCTGCAAACTCATCACTCTCTTCCTCCCCTAACACACAGCATGTGACGGGTCTAGAGCAGGGCAGGGAGGATGTGTTTGTAATCAGACCCACGTTTCTCCACATTGTGAATTCAGCCAAAACCCCCATACTCGTGATGCTTTAGTGTTGATTTTAGAAGCTCTGTGAAGGTAGAATTCTCCCAAATGGAGTCTCCTGGGTAGGAAATTGCTTATCTTAGAGTATTATTCTATATACCTCTGATAGGTTGTCTCCCCCGTGCCAGTCTGTAGAAGTCCCCTTACACTGGGAGGAATGAACATGGAGCCTGAAGCCACAGAAGGGGTCTTAATGCCAAAGGAAGTGTCCTTCCATGGCACTGTGGATTTTCTTGCCCAGCTCCGTTTTCCATGCCCTTTATTTTGGCTCTTTCTCCCACACTGTGTCCTGTGCCGTCAGGCAGAGAGGGGCCTCATCTGCTGCTTTATTTCAGGCCCTTCTCTAATTACACGGTGACATTAGTTATTTATATAATGTCCTTAATACCAAAGCGTCCATACTGGAGGTGCTGGGAGGTGGTGGGGAAGCCTGTGCCCGCCTGCCCACGGCTTGGCAAGTTGCATCCACCAGTCAGGTTGGTCCAGAGGTGCTGGACCAGCCCTGCAGCATCCCAGCATCTGGCACCGGCTCCTCTGGAGAGCTGGAGCCAGGTATCCCAGAGAGGCACAGGGTCACACAGCACGTGCCAGAGGGTAACCAGAGACAGTCTGTCCTGGCTGCAACTGCTGGATGTCCTTCTGAATCATGCTCCTTCTGCAGCCTGCGTGGCTCGGGGCAGCGTGCCTTGCCCTTGAAGTCCACGCTGTGCTTTTATGCACCCCCCTCCCCGCCAAGAAGAAGGCAGGGAAGTGCTAGCAGATGCGTAATTTCCCCAAGGACGGTGTGTGGGCTTCACCCTGGACAGCTAAATAAATACTTGGATGTCTCCTGCGCCCAGACTTGTTTGTGTCTCTGAGGCCAGGGTGGGACGTGTGGTGGGGTGTGTGCAGTTCCTGTCGGGTTTGGTGTGTGGCTGCTCCAGCGCTGGTTTTTAAATGTGACACTGATAACGCGGGCCGCCAGCCCGCCGCTGGCTTCCAGTTCCGTCTCGCTGCCTCCCTCTCTTTTATGTTCGCTGCTGCGGTTTGCGAGGCAGAGTTTAAAGGTTCCTCTGACTAACCCCGGCTGCTGGGCTCAAAGGGAAGGAAGTCGACTGCAGCCAAGAAAAGGAAGCCAGTCGGTTTCCCTTCTGCATCTGCGAGCGCGTGTGAGGGGGAGAGGGAGAAGGGTGTAGCCAGATGAGAAATGAGATAGGACGGGAAGGCAGCAGACCTCTTTCCTTCCATATTTTCTCGGCTCGGCGAGCTCCCTGCATGCGTCAGCCCGGAGCATGGAGAAAGGAAGCGTGTCCTGCTCAATATTTACCCGGCGGCGTGGGGCTGTGCGTTCAGCTCTGGCTGCCCATGGGCTGCACGCTCCTGGCTCGCTCCCTGGCACTGCAGTGTGTGAAGGCAGCCACCACGGGGAGCTTCCTTCCCACAGGATGGCGGGTGCTGGCAGGGCAGGGCAAGGGACCCAAGTGACCTCCAGGCTATGGGACAGGAGCTGGGAGCTGGTCCCTGGCTCCCTAGATCATGCCATGTGGCGTGGCCAGCACCCCAGTCCCACCGAGGACCCCCGGGGTGGATGCAGAGCACGTGGGTCCCTCTTGGCTCCCGCAGTGTCTATACAACTGGCCATCTCCAGTGTGGTGTCTGCAGTAGCCTGGTGACCCAAGGGGTGGTCAAAGCCTTGGGAAAGCACTGGCCACCCTCTGGGCAGCAGGGCCTGGGGCTGGGCTCGTGCTTAGGCTCCTGGGCTCTGTGCTGCAGGCAGTTACTTCAGGGCATCTATTTCTGGCCCCCAGGACATGCGGTGGGAGGCAGGCTCCGGGGCTCACAGGAGCTGAGGGCTATTTCTGGCTCCGGTTGCTGACCTGCCAGGCCACCCTTGGCCAGTCGCTTCCCCCTGTAACCCCCTCGTGCCGGGCTCACCCCGAGTCTCCAACCAAAGTCTCCCTCTGCCACCAGCACCAGACAATCCTGGGTGGCGTGGGACAGCAGCCACTCACCATGCAGGGCTTGTCACAAGACCATGACGCTGGAGGTGATCTTTTGATGTAAATCTGCAGTAGGCTGGCAATGAGTGCCCTAGGAGCACCATCAACAGACAAACCGTGCCCCTGAGGCATGTCTTTGTCACCCTAGAAATGGGCAACCCACAGGCTGAGGCAAAGAGGTGGGTGTGTTGAAAAAAAGGGCGGTCGTTGCCATCCAGATGTCACGCTCCAGCTTGTGCTAAAGGCTGGGAGCTGTGTGGTCTGGATCCCTTCTCTGCTGGCCATCCCACGGAGAGACCCCAGGCAGAGAGCAGAAGGGAGCAGTGGGCATCAGGAGTGGTCCTGAGACCCCAGAAGCTGTGGGACAGAAAAGCATTGGCTGGCACCCTCATATCTTCCCCACCAGCTTCTATATATGGGCCTGCCCTCTCCGGACCCATCACACCCGGATCTCAAGTGACACACTGGGGAGGGAGAAGGGGGGTGTCTATTTTTAGCCCCTGAATGGATCTGTCCTGGAGCCGAGCTCTCTGCCCCCGTCAAGGGTACAGCATCATGTTGTGCTGGGAGGATTTTCCTTCGCGGCTCTTTGAATGGCTCCATCACCGCCTTAGGTTGTGGTACAGGTAGGATGCAGCTTTGCCATCTCTCTGCTTCTTCTCCTGCCGCTGGATCCCCCCCCTGCTGTTTTGGGGGCTCTGTTGCATCTCCCTCCCCAGAGCCACGGGTACGGAAGGGGCTGCCATGTCTTGCTGAAAGGTCCTTGTTTGGACTGTGCTTCGTGCATGATGCCGTGGCAGCAGGAACGCTCGAGAGCATAAATCCCCCACTTTTTCCAATGGGCTGTAGGCAAAAGGAGTAGGAAAAAGTGTATGTGAGGTGTGATGCTGCTGTGGAGAGAATCCCAAACCTGCTGTGCTGCTGTGCTCAGGGAGCAGAAGCAGGAGGGACCTGAGGGGGTAGCAGTGGTCTCTCACCGCTGGCAGGGTGGTGGTCCAGCACATCCACACTTGTCCTGCTGAGCCTGCCAGGAGCAGCCCTCGCCTCCCACTGGTTTCAGCTGGAAATGAATAAGGATGATTGAATTGGGATAACAGGGCAGGAACGAGGGGGGGAAAGGGTTAGGGTCACCCTCCTCGGCTTTGTCTGCTGATGCTGGTGCCCCCTCCTCATGCCCTGATCTCTCCGGCCCCCCTCCCTCCCCTTGCTTTGCTGCTGCAGGCATGGATAACTTCGAGTACAGCATCCAGCTGAACGACAGGGACTGGGCTGAGTTCTTGCTGGCGTCGGAGGAATGCGACCTCAAGCCGGCCGCCCTGGCCACGGCCGAGGAGCAGTGTCTCAGTGACATTGAACAAGGGGACGGCGTGCCGGGGAGGGACTGCCACGCCAGCACCAACGGGCAGATCGCAGCCAGGGTGGGCAGCGGGCCAGGGCCTGGCACGGGATCCTCTCCCCCACGTGGGGTGACCGGAGACGCCTCTTTGCGCTGGCCGGCCGGCGGGCACCTTGCCCTGCCGGAGCTTCTCTCGGGCAGCGAGGACGAAGCGGACCTGGGCTCGGTCGGCAGGTTTCTGTGCGAGAGCGACAAGCTCGGCTGCCCTTCTCTTGCTCCGATGCCCAGTGCCCAGGGGAGGCAGCCCCTGTGTCCCCCCGCAGCCACCCCGGCCAGCCAGGCTGGTGGCACAGCCGAGAGCAGCCCAGGGCAGGACACAGCATGTGAAGCGGCAGCACCGCAGCCGGCATCGCCGTCGGAGAAGGGAGCCACCATGGAGCCCCCCAGCCCCCCAGCTGGAGCCCCCGAACAGGGAGGGGACGCAGGAGGGGGACAGCCCCGTGGCAGCCCGGTGGTGGCACAGCCAGGGTCTCTGGTGCAGCGCAGCTCGCGGGCACCGGCTACCCCCCCGGAGGGTTCGGCGAAGAAAAGTCCTGGCAGCGCTGCCCGCTCGGAGCCCGGGATACGGGGACCCCCACCTGAGCAGCCCCCCAGCCCAGCCCTGGAGACTGCACCCAAAGCACCCAGCGTCCCGGCGCGGGAGGAGGCCAGCGGGGAGAGAGCGGGTGGCGAGCCCGGCTCCCCGGCTGGTTCCCCTGATGTGGTGAGGCCCAAGGTGCCAGGACTCGGCAGAAAGAGCCGCAAGCAACGTGGAACCGGTGCCGCCGAGGCAGCCCAGGGGGACAGGGAGCCTGCGGGGGCTGCGGCACAGGGGGCTGGCGTAGCCACGAAGGCACCTTTGAGCTCCCCACTGTCCTCACGGAAGAGCAAAGGGAAGGAGAAGGCAGCCAAGCCACCCCTGGTGAAGCTGGGGAGCGAGGAGGCAGCGGAGAGCAAACGGCCGGGGCCCAGCCCTAGCACGGAGGAGGGTGATGCGGCCGTGAGCGCTCCCCCGAAGCAGAAGGTGAAGGAACCGGGGGCACAGTCCCCAGGGAAGGCAAAAGCCACCAAACACTCAAAGCCAGGGCAGGCTGGTGGCTCGGGCGTACGTGACAATGTGCCGGTGATCCCTGCCAGCGGAGCTGCGGCTCCTCCGGGAGAGCCGTGCCAGGAGGTGCTAGAGAAGCCTCTCCATCCCAAGAGCGTGGCTGCTTTTGGAGGGGATGCTGCTGAGGGAGCTGATGGGGAGCCTTCAGCCGAGACCCCCAGGGAGCTGGGCCCCCCTTGCTTGGCATCCGGGGCCTTTTCAAGAGCAGAATCCCTGGACGTGACTTGGCCTGAGATGTACGACTATTTGTTCTGTGACTCCCAAGGGGAAGAAGAGGGAATGGAGAACTCAGTGGAGGGGGAGAAAGTACCCTTGGAAAGGGAAATATCCTTGCCTGAACTGTATGAGTATTTTTTCAATGAACCAGAAGGAACCAGGAAAAAAGGCAAGGGTAAAGACAGGAAGCGAAAGAAGTTCAGCAGCTTGGACCACACTCAGCTGCAAAATGAGGATCCCGACTCGTCTCTGGTCACAGACTCTGTGGTTATCTCCGTCCCTGAGGTGTATGAACACTTCTTTCCAGATGGGCCTAGGAACAGGGCAGGCTGGAGAAAGATTTTCTCCATCACTCCAGGCTCTGAGGTGAAGAAAGCTGTGGGGGCATTGAAGTCCCTCCTGCAAAAGCATCTCAGCAGAGGCCAAGCTCCAGCCCCCCAGACTCTCTTGCGGAGAGGGTCCGGAGAGAAGCTCTCCCTCGTCCCGGTGGGAAGAAACCAGGAACGGCCAGAAGCTTTGGACATGGCCCTTGCTCTCAGAGGTAAAGCACTGTAACCCCCTGCCCGCTGCCCGGCAGCCCCGGGCTCACCGTGCCATGTGGTGATGTGCCTCTGCTTTGCGTGGTGTCCCCTGCTCCCACCACCCTTTGGCAAGCCTGGCAGCCAGCTCTGGCCCTGCTGTGGCCACCTCCACTCCAGCTGCAGTGACATTAATGCCACCCTACAGCTGGCAGCACTTTGGTGGGCTCCGCCAGGTCTGAAATCACATTTCTGGCATGTTAACCTTGCCACACAGCAGCCCTGGGATCTTTGGAAGTGTGGCTAAAGCCAACCACCATGACATGCCATGTGGCTGTCTCCTGTGATGCTCACATTGTCCCCATGCCAAGCAAGTGCTGCTGGCCAGGCCCCACAGGCTGGCTCCTGGTGCTACAGGAGGCATGGATGGGGAATCGGGGTATATTCTGGGAATAACTCACTTTGCTCCCCCCAAATTCCACTCCTGGGGCAGAGGGGGTCATGCCAGTGTGCATGCAAGAGGCTGAAACTCAGGCTGGCCCGAAGTCCCTGTCCTACCTGATGCGGTTGTCCCCCTGAATGGCTATAACTTACCATGGATCTAATCTATTCTTTTTGTATTTTGGCCAAGAAAAACTATCATCTGAAGTGTTTAGCTGCATTAAACATGGCTGGTGTTACTGCAAGGTGGGGTGGAGATAGGAATCCCCCTCCCCAGTGCCACCCAACTGTGTGCAGAACCACTCACCTGGATTTCTGATGAGGGGGTGGGAGGCAGAGTGGAAAAATCCTGCTGTACCAAAAACATCATGTCCCTGAGATACAGCACTGGCTGCTCGGTTGCTGTCCTGTTAAGGTTGGGCTGCTTAGTTGATCTAATATTGGTGGGGGAAAAGGTGTGCGCAGAGTGGAATGTGTCCAGGGCTGCCAGCTGAAAGAGGTGAGGGGGACTTTAAAACACACAGTAATTTGAAATTTGAAAAACACCCTCCGGAGACCTCAGAGGTTGCCTGAACATTGACTGCTACTGGAGGCAGGCAAGAAAAATGGGAATGAAGGGAGAGCGAGCCTGACCCACCAGGACAGTCTGCACATTTATCTTAAAGCTTATATGATGCTTATGGCCCCAGTGCCTCGTAGTTAATATTAAAACCAAACAATGAATGAGTCATCCCAAAGGGTGCCTCAAAATAGAGCTTCCAGTCTGTTTACACAGGGAAAAACCCCTTTGCCCTGGTCATAGCTAATTAATAAGCCAGCTTTAATTAAAAGCCTGATCAAATAAACGTAGGAGCAAAAAATAACCTACTCTTGCAACACGTCTTCAAGTTATGCCAGGCTGGGATTCCAGCAGAGAAGGAAATGGAGAGCACTCAGGGCTCTCTCCCTGGACAAAGCAGGAGGTGGGAGTGAGGTGGGACCCATGGAGAGATGCTGGTGCTCCTCTTGGTGCCTGCAGCCCCAGCGCATCGCAGCCAGCCCAGGAATTGTTCTCTCCTAAATCTACACCCCAGACCCACTTCCAGCCACCACAGAGGGGTGTGCTGGGAAGATACACAGGGAAGTGGGGAGGCAGGCAGAGGTCCTGGAGATGGCATGTCCACTGGCTGTGCCTCCCAGGCCCATGGGTGGCATCAACAAATACTTGCCTTGGGCTCTTAACCAAGTTTAAAACTGAGAGAGGTGAAAAATATACCCCTCTCCTTAGGAAACATACCTGAGTCCTAAATAGACATGTTTGACTTGACCAATGGGGAAAAAAGGCCTTCTGGGAGGGAAAACTTGTGACAAAGATGTATTTCTCTGGGAGTGCAAGGGACTTATTGCCCCAGAGGAACCAGAGCCTGCTGTGGCAGAGAAGGTGTTGTAAAACCCTAAATCTCCAAGCCTTGTGCTCTTCTTCTCACAGGGAATCCCGAGGCTCCGCTGACGTTGACCCACAAAGACATGTGCCTCGTCTTCTGCGCCTTTGCCTCCTGGGCAGTGAAGACCTCCGACCTGCAGGCTCCAGATGCCTGGAAGACCAGTACGTGTGGTGCCCAGCCTGGTGGGAGAGGGGTGGGATAGACCTCATGGAAGGCATGGCAAAGAGGAAGGCAGGGATACTAATGATGCCTGTAGAAAAATGCAGTCATTTTCCTGCTTTTCCAAAGTGTCCTGTTACTTTCTAATATCTTCTTTCTCCTATGGAAATGGAGAAATTAAAAACCTACTCATTTAGGTTGGCCTTTCCCCACAAAAAGTGGCTGCTGGTTTGAAGTGAGACGTAGGACAAGTCTCTATTCCTCTGAGAGGGACCGGTACCAGTGTGTCAGGGGAAGAGAGGCTTCTTTAGGATCTGTGCTGGTTAAAAACTGAATCAGGACCTCGATTATGCAAGTTTATAACTCCTTCCTTTCAGCTGGAACAAATGCATAGATTTTTCTAATGTGCTGTAAAGGTATAATTATTTTTTTTTTCTAAATGCAGCTTAACTGAAGTATTATCCTGGTGCACTGAGTCCTGCAAGTAAAGGAGCTCTCTCAGTCCCTCTCCAATATTTGAATAACTTGTGGGGAGAGAGGAAGCCCAAGGGGTGAGGGTCCTGGATGAGCAGGGAGTGGGGTCTACCCCATGGGCACCAGAGAGCCCCCACCATGGGGAGAGACACCAGGGCCAGGGTTTCCTGCTGCTTGTCCCCAGGAGGAATGTTCCCCACTAAGGTCACACAGGAAGCTGACACCCCAGGGCTGAGAATAGCTCATTAGCTAAAGTTGCTCAGGGCAATCATCACAAGGAGTTTTTGGCCTGCTCCTCCTTACTTTCTTAGTATGAGGTGGTTGACGTGGCCTCGGAGAGGGTGCGAAAAGCGTGTTATGGTCCTCGTGCCCTGGGGATCACATAACCCAACGTGCAACAAGTGCCTGGTTAGGAGGGGAGGTGAGGGGCTGCTCAACATCCTGGACTGGCAGTTCTCTTTTGGCATTTTAGGTTCTAACAAATCGAGTCGACCTGTCTGTGTCCCAGGCTCTAGGACGTAAATCAAAATAAAGTCTGAATTTAAACTGGGAAGTCTAAAGGCATGGCTTGGGTTCCCAATGTTGATTGGGCACAGATCAGGGGAATTTGACCTCTCTTATGAGCCAAGCTAAAACCGTTAGCTGAAAGTACAAGGAAGAGCTTGATTCTGTGTATAATCTCCATGAGTTGTTTTCTGTATTCCTGTATTTTCTGACTCTGGATTTTGTGTATTTTCTGCTTTTGGCTGGGATCAGAGTATCCATAGATAACCCACAAACTGATATTTTTCCTGGATCTTCCTGGTCCAAACAGAAGTAGAAAATGAAGGGGCTGTCCTGAAGCCCTGGTGAGATTTCCCACCGTCACCTTCTCATCCAAGAGTAGACCCATTAGATCTCCACATGAACCTGTATATCTAACCACCACCCATCTCCACCACAATCGTGAAGTCTATGTCACATTTCCCTTAAAAACAGCTGTTTCTTGTGAAATGGTGGTGTGATCCGTGTACCCAAACTATAGGACTAGATGTGGTCGCCCAGGCTGTGGGAGGCTCAGGACTCAACGTGCTGGGAACAAAGCACAGCGTGGTGGGGATGGAGAGCAAAGGCAGGAGGGGTCTGAGAAAGGGAGGGGATGGACACCCCTTAGATCCCATGGACCAGAGTGAGCCGAGTCGCTTGTGATCTTCAAGTTTGGAAAAAGTTCTTCAGGTTTGGAAGAAGCACCCAGCCTCACTCTGGAAATGTGTTGGGCTCTTTTCCAGTGTTCCTGGCAAGTTTTGGCACGCTTTCTGCCATCCGCTACTTCCGAAGGCAGGTCAGAGAAGGACACCCCCGGACCTAGGCTCAGCCCCCTCCACAGGTGCTGCCCGGGGACAGGCGAGGACGGCGGAGGCAGAGACCGGGGACTTCGTTCTTGGGCAGTGTGAGGAGCCTGGATCCCAGCACCAAGACTTCTCTGGACCCATCCCTAAAGGGGACAGGAATGTCACAGGAAGCAGGATCCTTCTGGTGACAGTCATTTGCAATACGGTAGGCAGTTTGTACCTGTACTGGACAGAAGAGGAGCCCGGCGTGGGCTGGCTCTGTTCTTTCTTTGCACACTTCTTGCATACTTGTGCTATCTCCTAGGAGTAGTCACAGTGTCTGTTCCAGGGCGCTGCTTGTCCGTCCTCCCTGCTGAAGTCACCTGGTGGCAAAAGGAAGGGGCTGAGGTGGTGGAGGGAGGAAAGAGCAAAAGAAATCAGGGAAGTGCTTCGTTCCTATGAAAGGGTTGGAGTTTCTGTGAAGGGAAGAGAGGAGACAGCTTCGGGGAAGAGCTGTTTCTGTCCAAACATGGTGCTCTGCTGAGCGTGTGCTGGCTGCACACAGAGAGCAGCTAAAGGGGGATGGAGGGGCCGCTGGCTTGGCAAGGCCCGGGGCTCCCGTGACCGGTTTGGCTCACTGCAGGAGGACTCATCCTCTTGGATTTCACTCCAAGAAGTCACGGCTCTGTCTAATGATTCAGGAGGCTGAGATAGGGTTTCTGTTGCATGTGGCCACCTCAGCCCTGCTGAGCCAGAGCTGTGGATGTGGGGGTCTGTCCCTGTGGGTGAGGAGCACCCATTACAAGGACACATTTCACTCCTGTAGGTAGACCATGGGCAGGGGTCAACCAGCTAGAGCCAGGGAAGGGGCAAGCAGGAGAGACCTGCAGGAGGATGTGCAGGACAGACGGACCATGGGCAGGAGTCAACCAGCCAGAGCCAGGAAAGGGATAAGAAGGAGGGACCTGCAGGAGGATGTGCAGGACAGACAGGGGCTGAGCTCAGGGAAGCCTCAGGAAAGAGCCCTGACAAGGACAGGAACAGGTTGGAGAGGGGGAAAAGGCATGTGTACATGTTTGACTCTGACAATCACCAGATGAAGGGTCACCAGATGCTGTCTCCCATCCCAGGGGCGTAAGGTTGGCTTGGAGGAAAAGTTGAGTGAGGAGGTGCCGTGGCTGAGTGTGTAACCTTGTGGGGATGGGAGGGGACCCAGAATGGAAGGTGGGGGAAAAAATGAAAAGGAAGTGGTTCGTTTTCTTCCCTATCTCCAGTGCCTTTCTGATCACTCAAGGGGATTACTCACGAGGGTTTTTCTTCACTCCTAAGTCTGATAACAGCATGAGTGTGAGATCTGTTAAGCACTTAGGCACCAGATCCACAAAGGTACTGAGGGAAATCTGCCCGGGACGCCTGTGTGGATCTGCCTATGAGCTTTATAGGAACAGTCTGTGGCAAAGTTTGTCTTAAGAAACGAGAGAGACGAGATTTAGTTCTTTCCTTGTAACGCAGAGTGCCGTGCAATTTTAATGTGCATAGGGTTGTACTGAAGACCATGTATTATTGCTGATAAGAGAGAGCACTGCACAGTTGTGCAGTGAGATACGTAGCAGTAAATAGCAAGAGGGAGAGATGTACAGGCTCTATATGGACTAGAGCGGCCGTATATCCAGTAAGTGGAGTTTTGCGGAGGAGGAGAACAGATAAAATATGCTGGAAGCTTCTAATAAAGATCTATCTCATTTAATGCTTTTGTGTACGTTCCTGTGTCTACATCGCTTGCGTGTGAGACCGTTGAATGAGGACTGAGCTTTAAAGAATGAGAAATCAATCCGTTATGTGTCTGTAGATACACAAACGTAGGAGCTGTGCTGGTTGAGGAGCCCTGGAGGAAAGAGGATGCAGGGAGACGGGCCCCTTCTCCTCTTCTTTGCCTCAGCCCCCGTGTTTACCCCTCGGAGACACATCTTGGCTTTCGCATGTCACTAAAAGCCTGATCCAGAGGGGCCTGTTCTCTCTCCTGTCTCAGAAGCACTCAGGACTTGAGCAAAATCCTGCTCTTCCCAGCCCTCCAGCCAGCTGGGGCCCCCTGAACGGATCGATGAGCACAAATCAATGCGCAGCACCAGCTCCCGGGTTCGCTCCATCGATCCCCATCCTGGTTCTCCTCTGTGCATCCTGGCTCTCCTCCGTGCTTCCCAGCTCTCCAGCCTGTCCTGCACCCGGGAACACCTCAGGCCCTGAAAGACATGCCCGACAGACCTCGCTCCCTCCAACGAGCAGGATCACGGCAGGCACAGGACAGGCTGAAGGGTTCCCATATGCTCAGTTTTCCTGTTTATCCAGCCATAATCCATTAAGCGCCCTGGGCATTCTCGGTGGCAGGTGGAAATACAGCAGCCTTGGCGTGGGGGGTGGGTTGGGGGGGAACAGCTGGAGGAATCGGGCAATTTCATCACACGAGACTGCCACAGGGAGCTGAGGGAAGCAGGAAAAGGTCAGAGGAGGGCAGCAGACGGGTTTGCTGAAAGAGAAAGGGGTCTCCGGGATGGCCAGCCCCTCTCTCGGGATGCTCTGGCTCTTCCTGAAGGGTTCTTCACATAAAATGGAGTCCCCAGGGTAAAGGATGTGGGTAAACCCTGAATGGTCACTGCTGACTTCTTCCTTGGTTTGATTTTTCAGATTTTTCTAGCCTTGTCACACAAACCTGGAAGGAAATAATGTTTTCCCTTCGCTTTGCAGCTGCAGGAACAGATAATTTCTCTCCCAGCCACGTACAGTACTCCCAGGTGCAGCACTGACAGGGCATAAGTGCTTGGGCTAAAAGTCACAGAATTTAATCCTGGGCAAAGTGGTTGGGAGAGCTGTTCTGGTTTGTCTCAGTGTCTCAGGGATTACAAAGTTGGCCTGGAGATCCCACTGGAACTGGGAGGGCTTCTGGCCAGAAACCACAGCGTTGAAGACACTTTTGATGACATTAGCCCCTCCAGGGAGGTCTGGATGGGGCAGGGCTCTGTGCTGGGATGTGGGGAGGCTGCCTTGTACCCGTGCCAGCGGGATCTTTTCTAAGTAATAGGGCACTGCTTTGGGGACCTCATCTTCCCTGGGGAAGTGGTTTTGTTCTCAGCAGCTCCCCACAAGCCAAAGCAGCCATTTGGGGGTGCTGCTGGTTCAGGTCACTTGAGAGGAATGAGGAAGCTCAGGCCGTTGGGGCTGGGCTGGAGAACTTCATGGTGAATGTAACGCTGCTAAATCACTGCTGAGAAGAGACCTGTGTGTCCTGTCCTGCCACCATCACTTGAAGGCTGTGGTGCACGCTTGTTTGCAGGAAGACAACTCATTCTGCAGCTCACAGACAGTCAGGCTACAGTCGGAGGCTACAGTCGGAGGCTACAGTCGGATTTCCTGAACTACATGGGGCAGGCTGCAGGATGGTTTGGGTGCAAATAGTAACATCAGACATGGTCAGACCCAGATGTCACAAGGATGGTAGGGAATGGTCTGCACTCCCACTGCCCTGCTGAGCCCTGCACAGCCAAAACACCATACTCAGGCTGGGAAAAGCAGCCTCCTCGACCTGCTCGAGCTGTGAAGGGCACCGAGCGCCTGTTTTCCTGCTCTGAGGGACATGGGATGTATCACTCTGTCAATGCTTCTATCCTAGTGCTCAAAAACTCGTGCTAAGTTTCTTCCCAGGAGACCTGGATGCTCCTGTTATGCTGTGGGTAACACAAGGTGCCTGCCACCTCCACCAGCGAGTGCCTTTTGCCTGTCTGTGATAATCAGTGTCTGATCCTTTAGAGCTTGGGCTTAGAGACATAAATATGATTTGCCACCTGCTACAAGTGACCGAAGGTGCCCGGTGATCCATCAGGTTATCGGCACATTTCACACTCCTTTTGCTCCCCACGGGAAGAAGCGGATGAGAGAAATATTTCAGAAGATGGATGCTTTGAGTCAGCTGCAGAAGCGAAAAGAAATATTGAAAGGTCTTGTTGGTATCGGGAGATCAGCTCTGGGAGTGCTCAGTCCAAGTGTCCTTCAAGGAAACAAGCCTGGACTTGCCTGCAATTTCAATGTTTGGTTTATTCTGCGACCTTTTAAGCTCTCTCCTCTCCCTCCACACCGAGGTCATCACCCCGGAGGGAGGAGCCAGGAGCTCACCATCTTTTTGCAACAACCACCACAATAGAAACGACCTTTTTGGGTGCATCCTCGCTGCCGGGAGACCGTTTTCCTTCCCCCCCCCAGAGAGGGTCGGGGCTGGAGGTGGGAGCCGTGCCATCCCACTCCTCTTCCTCGCCTTGCACGTAGCTCCCACATCTGACACCTCGCCTTGCCAAGCAGATGAAAAAGTCAGGCAGGTGCATCCCCAAGAGCTGCCCCCCCTATTTCAGCCGGCCTTCCTGAGCCCTGGGAGAGCAGGAGATGTTTGGGTGGATTCCCCCACCCACCGGGCAGAGAAGGAGTTGCTGGTCAGGGACTGGAGCAGATCCTGCACATCTCCAGCTCCTCCTGTTTTCCCAGCAGGAACAGGCAGCAGGTTCACCCAGCAGGTCCTTCCCCGACCCCAGCTGTGGTTTCAGCCTGATGGGAAGAGACACGTTCATGCAAAATGCTGATTCCCAAACCCCGAGTGTCTTTGTAAATGCTGATAAAAAGATCAGCAAGTCCACGCACAGCAGAGGAGCAGGAGCTTTCCAGTTATGGAGCCTTTTTCTCCAAGCTCCTGAAGCCAAACAAGCAGGTCACAGGCTCCATTTTATATTTTTTTAAACACACCTCTCTGCTGTTTGCCCTTTGAGGAAAACAAGTTTTAAAGTGGGGCTTGGACAGCAGAAAGACCTACAGCAGCCCATGGTGGTTCAATAACTTCTGTGGTTTTCCAGCGACGGTTTCAGAAGCGGGGGG